GTGAGCGGCGCCCGTTTTTGGGGGTTGGTGAGGACCCTCTGCCCCGACCCCCACCTCTTCTTCCGCCACTGCTTCGTCTACAACCACTGCCCCCTCCTCTTCCTCGCCGCCAGCGGCCGCAACTTGACCCCCACGGATTTGCCCCCCGCCGCCCGGGACCCCCTGCTGGGGGTGTGCGACGGGGGGCTGGCGCGGGCCGTGGGGCTGCTGGGGGTGGGGCTGGTGGTGGGAGTGGGGCGCTTCGCCGAGCGGCGGGGGGGTCTCAGGTGAGGGAAACTGAGGCACAGACGGGGCTCAGAGTGGTTTTAGGGGGGCTGTGGCTGGGGCACAGTGTGTGTGCCCCCCCTGGAACCACAGAGGGGGAAACTGAGGCACAAAGGTGCTTGTCGGGGGCTTTGGGGCGTCCCTGTCCATCCCTATGGGGTCTCAGATGAGGGAAACTGAGGCACAGATGGGGCTGAGAGTGGTTTTAGGGCGGCTGGGGCTGGGGCACAGTGGGTCGGGGCTCAGAGTGGTTTTAGGGGGGCTGTGGCTGGGGCACAGTGTGTGTGCCCCCCCTGGAACCACAGAGGGGGAAACTGAGGCACAAAGGTGCTTGTCGGGGGCTTTGGGGCGTCCCTGTCCATCCCTATGGGGTCTCAGATGAGGGAAACTGAGGCACAGATGGGGCTGAGAGTGGTTTTAGGGCGGTTGGAGCTGGGGCACAGTGGGTTTCCCCCCTCCCCGGAACCACAGAGGGGGAAACTGAGGCACAAGGGTGCTCGTGGGGGGCTTTGGGGGCGTCACTATCCATCCCTATGGGGTCTCAGGGGAGGGAAACTGAGGCAAGGATGGGGTTCAGTGTGTGTGCCCCCCCTGGAACCACAGAGGGGGAAACTGAGGCAAAAGGGTGCTCGTGGGGTGCTTTGGGGGCATCACTGTGGGGTCTCAGGTGAGGGAAACTGAGGCATGGCTGAGGCACAGTGGGTTTCCCCCCTCCCCGGAACCACAGAGGGGGAAACTGAGGCACAGGCGCTTTGGGGGTGTCCCTGTCCATCCCTGTGGGGTCTCAGGTGAGGGAAACTGAGGCACAGATGGGGCTGAGAGTGGTTTTAGGGCAGCTGAGGCTGGGGCACAGTGTGTGTGCCCCCCGTGGAACTACAGGGGGGGGAAACTGAGGCACAAGGGTGCTTTGGGGTGCTTTGGGGCGTCCCTGTCCATCCCTGTGGGGTCTCAGGTGAGGGAAACTGAGGCAGAGTTGGGGCTGGGGGTGTCTGTAGGGTGACACGGCCTGTGTGCCCCCCTAGAACCAAAGAGAGGGGGGAAACTGAGGCACAGGGGTGCTTGAGGGGTCCCTGAGGGGTCCCAGTCCCTCCCTATGGGGCCTCAGGGGAGGGAAACTAAGGCACGGATGGGGCTGGGGGTGTTTGTAGGGTGGCTGGGGCTGGGGCACAGCATGTGTGCCCCCCGTGTCCCCCCATGGAACTAAAGGGGGGGAAACTGAGGCACAGGAGTGCTCCTGGGGTCCCTGGGGGGTCCCAATCCATCCCCATGGGGTCTCAGGGGAGGGAAACCGAGGCAGAGTTGGGGCTGGGGGTGTCTGTAGGGTGACACGGTCTGTGTGCCCCCCCTAGAACCAAAGAGAGGGGGGAAACTGAGGCACGGGGGTGCTCCTGGGGTCCCTGGGGGGTCCCAATCCATCCCCATGGGGCCTCAGGGAGGGAAACTGAGGCACGGGGGTACTCGTGGGCTGTCTGGGGGATCCCTGTCTGCCCCCATGGGGCCTCAGGGGAGGGAAACTGAGGCACTGGGGGTGCTGGGGTGGTCTCAATCCATCCCAATGGGGCTTTGACCAAGGGAAACTGAGGCAGGGGGGTACTTGGG